TCATGCCACTGTTTTTGGTACCTCCAGTCTTGGACTGCACCCTTTCAGATCACAAACTGCGGTATTTCTGAGGGTACTAGGATTTCTCTCTGTGTCAGAAAGTGGTTTTCAGGAAGGTGTGATTTTTGTCTTTCAGCAGACCATACCCATAAAGAAACTAAGGGTGATGGCATGGTTCACATCCTGTTCTACATTGGACCCCTAATCCCATCTTAATCCTATTCTTTAGCATGGCAGAAAACTCCTACCAAAATGGAATTAAAGGAAGTGGCATTACTGTTGTTAAGTGCTATTGAGTAGCTTCCAACTCAGAGCAACCTTATGTACAACAACAACAACAACACTGACTGGGCCTGGGCCACCTCACAACTGTTATACGTGAGTTCATCATTGCAGCTACCATGTTAATCCATTTTATTGAGGGTGTTCCTCTCTTTTCGCTGCCCTCTACTTGATCAAGGATGATGTCCTTCTCCAGTACTGGTCTCTTCTGATAACATGGCCAAAGTGCATGAGACAAAGTCTTGCCATCTTGCTTTTAAGAAGCATTATGGCTGTACTTCTTCCAAGACAGATTTGTTGGTTCTTTGAGCAGTTCACAGTACTTTTAATATCCTTTGCCAACATCACAATGCAAATGCGTCCATTCTTCTTCGGTCTCTTTTGTTCAATGTAAAACTGCACATGCAAAGGAGGTGATTGAAAATATCCTGGCTTGGTAGACCATGGCGTTGAGGACCTTAGTCCTCAAATTAATGTACTTGCTTTTCCACACTTCAAAGAGGTCTTCTGCAAATTTGCCCAATGCAATGTGCCATTTGATCTCTTGACAACTGCCACCATGAGCACTGATTGTGTATCCAAGCAAGGCAAAATCCTTCAGTCTTTCCTCCTTTTATCATGATGTTACTACTAGTCCAGTTGTGAGGATTTTGAGTTCTTTACATTGAGTTGCAATCCATTACCAAAGGCTGCAATCCTTGATCTTGATCAGCAAGTGCTTCAAATCCTCCTCACTTTCAGCAAGTAAGGTTGTGTCATCTGCAGAGTCCAAGTTATTAATAAGCCTTCCTCCGGTCCTGATGTCACATTCCTCTTCACACACAGATTGAATAAGTACGGTGAGAAGATACAACCCTGACACACCCCTTTCCTGATTTTATGACAGGAAAAGATTTCCTTGTTCTGTTTGCCCACTGTCTCTTGATCCATGTACAACTTCCACATGAGCACGATGTAGTGTCTGGGACTCCCATTCTTCTCAAGGCTACCCAAGTTAGTTATGGCCCATACAGTTGAATTCCTTTGTATAGTCAATAAAACACAAGTAAACATCTTTCAGGTATTCTCTGCTTTCGGTCAACATCCATGGGACGTCAGCTTTGACATCCTTGTGCCTCCTCCTTCTGAATCGGGACTGAATTTCTGACAGCCCCCTGTCAATGTACTGCTGCAACCATTGTTGGATGATCCTCAGCAAAACTGTGCTTGCTTGTGCTGTCAATGATATTGTTTTATAACGTGTACATTCTATTGGGGCATCTTTCTTTGGGATGGGTACAAATATGGATCTCTTCCAGTTTGCTAGGTATCTGTTTTTCAAATATATGAGTGAGTGCTTCCAGGGCTTCATCAGCTTCCTGAAACATTTCCACTGGTATTCCCATCAACTCCTTCACCCATGTTCTTGGCGAATGTCTTCAATACAGTTTGACTTCTTCCTTTAGTATTATTGTTTATTGGGCCTATGCTACCCCTTTAAATGGTTGCATGTCAAGTAGTTGTTTTTTGTACAGTGACTCTGTATCCCTTCCATCTTCTTGCATCATTCAATATTTTGCCCACAGAATCTTTCAATATTGCAACCCAAGGCTTGAATTTTTCCTTTTGTTCTTTCAGTTTAAGGTACACTGAGCATGTTCTTTTTTAGTTTTCAAATTCTAGGTGTTTGCACATTTCATGATGGTATTTTATTTTGTCTTCTCCTGTTGCCCTTTGTCATCTTCTGTTGACCTCTTTGACTTGGTCATTTCTTCTATTTGTCATAGCTACTTTATGAGTAAGAGCAAGTTTCAGAGTCTCTTCTGACATACAGTTCGATCTTTTCTCCCTTTCCTGTTTTTTTAAAGAGACCTTTGCTAATTCCATAAATGATGTCTTCCCACAGCTCATCAGGTCTCTGTCATTAGTGTTCACTGCATAAAATATGTTGTTGAGATGTTCTCAAAATTCAGGTGGGACAGACTCACGGCTGTATTTTGGCTTTCATGAACTTGTTTTCAACTTTGATCTAAACTTACATATGAGCAATTGATGGTCTATTCTACAGGCAGCCCCTGGCCTGGGTTTAGCTGCTAATAACAAGCATTTCAATCATCTCTTCCCACAGATGTAGTCAATTCGACATCTCTGTGTATCCCATCTGGAGAAGTCCATGCATATAGTCACCATTTGTGAGGTTAAAAAAAGGTATTTGTGATGAAGAAGTCATTGGTCTTGCAAATTTCTACCATGCGATCTCCAGCTGTGTTTCTCTCACCAAGACCATATTTTCCAACTACTGGTCCTCCCTCTTGTTTCCAACGTTTGCATTCCTGCAGCTAATTATTACTAGAGCATCTTGACTTCACATTTGATCAATTTCTAACTGATGATGTAGGTAAAATTCTGAAATTTCTTCATCGGGGGAACCGATTACAAGGATCTACATGTGACCTCCTCCTTGGGGGATGGACAACAGAAAAGTGGGTGAAGGGAGACGTCGGACAGGGCAAGATAAGACAAAATAATAATTTATAAATTATCAAGGGTTCATGAGAGATTGGGGAGTGGGGAGGGAGGGGAAAAATGAGGAGTTGGTGCCAGAGGCTTAAGTGGAGAGCAAATGTTTTGAGGATGAGGGCAATGAATGTACAAATGTGCTTTATACAATTGATGTACGTATGGATTGTGATAAGACTTGTATGAGCCCCTAATAAAACGATTAAAAAAAATATCTTCATCATGAGTTCTGGTCATTGGTGCAAACATTTGAGAAATAGCTGTACTGACTGGATATCCTTTTATCAGTATAGATTTTATCCTAACAGACATCACTATACTTCAAGATAGATCTTGAAATGTCCTTTTACATGATGAATGTAACACAATTCCTCTGGATCATATCACTGTTGGCAATAATAAACCATATGACGGACTGAATCAAAGTGGCCAGTACCAGTCCATTTCGGTTTACTAATGCCTAGAATATTGATTTGTATGCATTCCATTTTATTTTTGACCACTTCCAATTTTCCTGGATTCATACTTCACATATTCTAAGTTCTATTATTAATAGATACTTGCAGCTGCTTCCTCTCATGTTGAGTCATGTCACATCAGCAAATTAAGATCCAGAAGGCTTTACTCCCGAAGACATTTACGCTACCCACAGCATTATGGTCAATCCATACGAGATAGCTCTTCCTCAGTCATACTTCAATCGCCTTCCCACCTAAGGGGCTCATCTTCTGGCGCCATATTGGAAAATGGTCAGGAGGGTTTCAGTGTCTGCCAATGTTCCACTGTTAGTCATAACAGTCCTCAGTGGCTAACTCCTCACAAGCGGGCAGCCTGTGCCTTTTTCACACTCTTCGTCTGGAAGCGCTAATGAATCATGTTCCCTTGGGAGACACCACTGAGATTTGGAACACCAATGACAGTTTCTCACATCACAGCAACACACAGCCACCACAGTACAGTATGGCAAAGTGACAGTCAAGCCATACCCACAGAATCCAGAATTATAATACATCATCTAAGAAATTATGGTTAGAGGAATCATATTAATCTACATCTCACCTGCATTTTATTGCTCTGAGATAGTAAGAACTGGCAGGACTTACCTGTCAGACTAGAAAATACATGAATATGAGGAAACAGAACTGTGGTGTGGCTTCTGTTCCTCACTTCCCTTCTCATGGAGACTATACGGGAGAGCTCCTCTAGTAAGCTGATGGTAATACCTGTCATAAGCCCTGAGTGGCTTCAATTTCCCCGACTGTGAAACAAAAGGGATGAATAGCTAATCTGCAAACTCAAACTCTACAGATAAAATAACATTTGTGTCTGGGTCTTCCATAATTTAAAAGCTCATACTCAACAATCCCAAACTGAGTTTAACTACTTAGGAGAGTGCTTTGAAACAAATATTTCTTTACAGATGTACAGTAAAGCTGTCAGCACTCGGTTTCCAGGGGGCAGTTCTTACATCTGTTCATGGCTGTTCGGGTCACCCTCAGGATCATTTGGAAAACTACACAGGTTACAAACAATTCAGGTTGACTCTGGAGTTCCAAAGCAGATGTAAACCTCAGCTCTCTGATCAGTGCTGGCTCTGCACAGGGCAGTCAGGGGCTCAGCGGATAGGCCCCAGGAATCACCTGAACCAATTCCTTGGCAAGGCTTTTGCACACAGCAAAGTCTGAGCACTTCTTTCAGGAGGCTTTCTCTGCTCTCAATCCCAACTCTCCATAGATCACCCTCAAGGAAGACGAACCTGATGATGGATCAAGGAAGGTAGTCAATTAAGACTTTTTGAGTTACAAAATGTACTGTATCACCTCTCCCATTTGCCTTAAGCTGATAGGAAGTTGGAAGAAACATCTTGAACTCAATTTCAGAAATTCTGTAGGCCCTCATAGCTCATATTGTTAAGCTTTTTTCTCTCGCCTATATTTTTACTTGTATATTTTCCCTATTTCTCATTCTTATCTTTATTTACTTTGTGCCATTATTTTATTTTATGGCTTTTATAAAACTATCAAATCCTTTTATGGAGTGAGATGTGGTATGAATAATCAAACGTGCTTGTGCCCAGAAATGAATCAAAGTATTTGTGCCCTGCCACATTTCTTCCCTTGTTTAGATCCTGCCTCAGACGCTGGGCAGCATGCCTCTGTTCTGGCTGGCCACGGTGGCTCCCTCCCCAGAGTTCCTCATAGAAGTACCAGCAACCTTACTTGTGCCCTTGCAGCTCGATAGCTGTTCCTTTTCTCCCTCCGATGTCCCACATGATGACAGAGTGATCAGAACTGCCGGAGAAGAGCACTCGCTGGACTGGGTCCCAACAGAGAGCAGTCACCCCACCTAGGAGAAGAGACACAGCTGGACATTCGTCACCAAGTACATGTGACTGTGAAGGATTTCGAATTTAGTGCAGCTCCTAGCATATAACAAATGTTTGTTCAAAGAACAAATGAATGGCTGAATACTGAGGGGCAAAAAAGAATAAAAAACCCTCTCCTTAAAATCAATGTAGCATGAAATCAATTATTATAAAGACCAAAGTGGACATTTAAAAAGGTAATTAATTGACCTAAAACAATAGCCATAATTCAAGGAATGGAAAATATTGCACTGTTCAGAATCATTAACTGTTTGCTTAACCGCTGCTTGCCCCATCGCCCTGATGTTAACAGAGAAGAAGAAAAGCGGGATCTACAAAGCTCAATTAGACTTTTCATTCTTAAATATCAGGTATCCTTAGACTGCAGTGCCAGAATGGAACATTCAGATTCTACTTACATCCTTAAACGTCAGTTTTCTTGACTATAAAATGGGAGGATGGTGGCTGTGTTACTCTTACTAGTCATTATATGAACCTGGCTAGCCTACTAAGACTGTGGGGAGGAGGAGACATTACCACGTATCTAGGATAGTGCACTGCAGTGTGAAATACAAGTGCTGGCTATGGCATGGCTATAATATTTTTTTCCTGGGGCAAGCTCTTTGGCAATGAACCTCTTTATGTACTGAACACAGTAATAACTAATAACTGTGCCACAGTTATCCCATATACATTCTCACAAAGTCTACAAATACTTAGCAATGTCAGAAATACTCGTTTTTCTTTACATTTCTGAAACAGATTATATTGTATAAAGAACATAAAATAGCCACTTATTTGACAGTAAAAAAATTCAGATTATCAAATTGTTCTAATGAAGTATTATAAATATTTTTAAGAAAATTTCTTGCATAGACTGTCTCAGAAGATTTCCACTTTCTCTTTATCCTTCCTCCTAGAGCATGCCAATATTCCAAGGCATGAGAAGCCACATTCTGGAAGGAACTTAGGTACCTGAATCACTACATGAAAGAAAAAATGAAATATGAATTAAAAAAGACATGCACTGTAAGAAATAAATTTTTGCGGCATTAAGCCACTGATTTTGATATTTGTCATGTTATAAAAAATGTTAACATTTTTGTTATCTAAGTAAAGGGCATAAAGACCATAATTTTTGAAATTTTTAACAATCTGAAATACTTCAAAAGGAAACCATTGTATCATCATCCTACAAAGTCCCCCTGCTGTCACTGCTGTTCCTGTTATCGATTCTCCACTCGGCAGCCACAGTGGTCACTGACAAATGCACAGCAGATCCCGGGACCTCCTGCTCCAATCTCATTTGGCGTCTCATCCTGTCCAGAATAAAGCCCAAATGCTTACAACAGAAATGTAGGAGTCATCCTACCCCAATCAATTGCCAAATGTTGCTGACTCCTAATCTATAAAAGGGGCTTCAAAAAGCTCAAGGAAAAAATATCATTATTAATATAATTTTCTAAAAATCATTTAATTGGGGGCTCTTACCGCTCTTAAAACATTCCATACATCAATTGTATCAAGCATATTTGTTGCCATCATCGTTTCCAAAACATTTTCTACTTGAGCCCTTGGTATAAGCTTCTCTTTTTCCCCCTCCCATCCTCGTGTATCCTTGATCAATTCTATATTATTATTTTACTGCATATCTTACACTGTCCATTGTCTCCCTTCACCCACATCTGTTATTCATCCCCCTGGGAGGGCGCTATATATCCAATCTTGTGATGGGTTCCCACTTTCTCACCCTTCTTCTCTCACCCTGGCCATCCCCTACTCTCATGATATTGCTATTCCCATTACTGTTCCAGAGGGGTTTATCTTTCCTGAATTCTATGTGTCGAGAGCTCTTATCTGTACCAATGTGTGTTCTCCAGTCTAGCCAGATTTGTAAGTTAGAACTGGGTCATGGTGTGGGGGTGGTTGTGGAAGAAGTATTCAGGAACTGGAATAATAATGTGTGATTTGTTGGTGCTATACTACACCTTGGTTGAATCATCCCTTCCTTTTACCACTTCTGGGGGGGGATTTACAGATGGGCTTTGGGTCTCCATTCCAACCCTCCTCTTTCGAATCAATATAGTTGTTTGCTTGGGATCTTTTGACACCCGATGCCTGATCCCATCAACACCTCATGATCACACAGGCTGGTGGGGTTCTTCCATGTGGGTTTATTTACTTCCCTGCTAGATGGCCACTTGTTTGGCTTCAAGCCTTTAAGACCCCAGATGCTACATCTTTGATAGCTGGGCACCATCCATTCTCTCCACCACATTTGCTTATGCATCTATTTTGTCTTCAGCTACCATGTCGGGAAGGTGAATATCAAAGAGTGCCAGGTTATCAGAACAAAGTGTTCTTGTGTTAAGGAAGTCCTTGAATAGAGGCCCAAAGTCCTTCTTCTATCTAATACTTGTACATTGGCCTCTATCCCTTTCATTATAAATTAATATATTTACATATATACAGGCCTATAGCTATACTTCTATAAATAGCTATGCCTCCTATTTCTTTCCTCTATTTCCTTTCACCTTCCTCCTATCCCACTATTATGTTCATCCTCCATTCAGCTCTCAGTATTCCCTCTTAGATCCAGTGCTCTTCTTGATCAAGCCCTACCCTGCATTATACCCCTCCTCCTCATCAATTTCAGATCTCTTGTTGTTTACTAATATAATTTTTGCAGAAACTTTTTGAAGTCCCCTTATTTTAAATTCTTCTCTTCTCTCATGCCCACTGTAACTATCCCACCCAAGCAGGCATTACCTTTTCCAGGGTACCAACTGAAGTTGTCTAAATAATTCTTGGCCCCACTAGATCCCACCCATGTGGTCAGTGATTTTTGCACATGCAAATCACCACTCCACTCTGCTTAAACTTCTTCACACCAATGGAGCATAATGACTCAGCTTCTTAACAACTTGTACTCCTCAGCAGCTTTCCACGTGGACCATGGCTTAGCTCAGGGGCTCATGCTTTTCATTTCAGGTTCCCGGGCCAGTCCTTGGTCTGGAATGCTCTTACAACCTGGGTATAATTTAAACATCACTTCCCTTAGAAAAATCAGACGCTGTTGAGATGATGCTGATAAAACTCTGCTCCAGAGAGTTTTCAGTGGTTGTCTTTTCACCAGGAGATAGTAGGCCTTTCTTGAGAAGCACCTCCAGGTGAACTCCACTGGCTAATCTTTTGGCTAGCAGCTGAGCCATAAACCATTTGCACCACCCAAGGATTTCCTTGGGAAGCCTCCCTTTAACTCTGAACAGGGAACCATCCTTCTGTTACTTGCTCCAATGCATATTTATGACCCACATCATGTTTCACAGCACTTGGAATACTCATAACATTTTGATTAATTATTGGTAATGACTGACTTTTAAAATATATATATATCATTTTATTAGGGGTTCTTACCGCTCTTATAACAATCCATATATCAATTGTATCAAGGACATTTATACAGAAGTTACCATCATCATTTTCAAAACATTTTTTTTCTACTTGAGCCTTTGTTATAAGCTCTTTTTAGCCCTCCCTCCCCTCCTTGCCCTTGTGAGCCCTTGATAAATTATAAATTATTATTATTTTCACATCTTACACCATCCGCTGTCTCCCTACACCCATGTTTCTGTTCTCCCCCCAGGGGTGTGGGGGTTGGGGGAGCAGCTATACGTCAACCCTTGCAATCGGTTTACTCTTTCTCCCTTCACCTTCCCCCGACCCTCATGGTATCAATACACAGTCCTGGGTTCCATGTGCCGAGAGCTTTTATCTGACAAGTGACCAGTGTACATGCTCTGCTCTAGCTGGGTTTGTAAGGAAGAACTAGGGTCATGATAGTGGGGGAGGAGGGGGGGGAGGTAGCATTAAAAACTAGAGGCATGCTGCGTGTTTCGTAGGTGCTATATTGCACTCGGGCTGACTAGTCCCTTCCTTGCAACTCTTCTCTGAGGGGATTTCCAATTGTTTACAGATGAGCTTTGGGTCTCCACTCCAACCCCACTTGTTCACATTGGTATGTTTTGGGTCTTCTGACGATTGCTACCTGATCCTGTCGACACCTCACCTCGTGATCACATGGGATGGTGTGCTTCTTCCATGTGGGCTTTGTTGCTTCCCTGCTAGATGGCTGCTTGTTTAACTTCAAGCTTTTAAGACCCCAGATGCTGTATCTTTTAATAGGTGGGCACCATCAGCTTTCTTCACAATTGTTTATGCACCCATTTTGTCTACAGCGATTGTGTTGGGAAGTTGGATGACTGACTTAATGCGTGTGTCTCACACAGGATGGAAAGTCTGATAAGGAAAAGACTACACTAGTTTTATTCACCTCTGTATCCCAGAACCCGTCATATAAAGAGCTAAGGACTTTACTAAGTCTTGGTAAAAATCTGCATCTATTGATTTGCACTTTTAAAAAAATGGGATCTATGTCAAAGTTTCTAATATAAACAAAATTTTAAATTTCCACCTAGTTATTTGTGTTTCATTAAGTTATGCTTTTTTTTTTTTAAGGGGCCTGGTGGCATAGTGGTTGTGTGTTGGGCTGCTACCCCCAATGTCAGCAGTTTGAAACCATGAATCACTCGGTGGGAGAAAGATGAGGCTTTTAACTCCCATAAGGGGTTCCGGTGTCAGAAACCCACAGGGCACTTCTACTCTCCGACAGCGATGCCATCAGTTAGAATGGAGTCAATGGCAGTGAGTTGGGTTTTGGTTTGGTTCCTTTGTTTAATTATTTTTATTATACTTCCTTTCAATAATTCTCCTGGCAATGAGTGGATATGCCTCTATTTAATGATTTCATTAATGAATATGCTAACAGGCTTACATTCAGGTCTTCCCATTTCAAGCATGTTTAATAAAAATATTTTTAGAACAGAAAAATATTTTATTGAAATTAAATAGTAATTTATCTCCAATGGTCAAAATTTGATTCTTTCATTTTACTCAAGTTGGTATGACTTTTGGGTAGAAACAGCTGAGAACTATAATACTTGGCATTTGGCTCCAGAAATAAAACTAACAGAGGAAGCATAAGATCATAAAACTAGAGGTAACTAAATAAAATTCTCAGGCACCCCTACCTGTCAGCCACCAGGTGAAGGTGAAGGCGAAGGTCTGACTACTAAAGAGTCAAAACATCAGGCTCAACCTCGCCTCTGCCTGAACCAAATCAGAGGTCCCTTCCTACCTGCTAAGCTCATTTTGTACGTGTGCTGGCTCCACCCACTCTTCATTTTCCGATCATTAGTATCACATTTAAAGGGTCCCAGTTTCCAGGTTACCAATTACAGTCTACTGTCATAAAAAGTTTTAAAAATCCAACCATAATAATTTTTCTGTTTGAAACTCTAGAATGATTTCTTGCTGACTTCAGGAGAAAATCTGAGAAAACCTGTAAGAGAGAAATCACAAGGCTGGTCCACCTTCAGCAACCAGAGAAAGAAAGAGTCAGGTAGTTAGTTACAAAGCAGATAGGACACCGGTTGATAGCAGATACCCTGTTTCCTCGAAAGTAAGACATCCCCCGAAAATAAGACCTACTTACAGTTTTGCCTCTTGATGAAATATAAGCCATACCCCCGAAAATAAGACCTTCCTGAAAATAAGACCCCCCGAAGCTACTGTAACTCTGGACTCTGGACCGTAGCACCCTGTTGGCTGCAGCGCAGCCGGAGCAGATAGGAAGTGCAAGGTCTCTTTCAGTAAAACAATAAACAATAAATGTGTCCCATATTCTTCTTCATGGAAAAATAAGACATTTCCTGAAAATAAGACGTAGCGCATCTTTGGGAGCAAAAACTAATATAAGACACTGTCTTATTTTCGGGAAACAGGGTAAGACAATTACTAGAGCTCAGGCACCTGGAGTATGGAATGTGGGAACTGGATGAATTAAGAAAGGTGGAGGGAGGGGGAAATGTGCTCCAGAGGGAGAAACCTCTTAGGCAATTTGCAAGAAAAATGGTTAACCCCATAGTACTCAGCCATTGAGGAACTGGGGGGAACGGGCTTGGGAACCAGGAGATCCGATGCTTGTGGAGGGACTGAGGTATGCCCATCCTTTTGCCTAATTTGTCTCCAGGCTTGGGCGCCCAATTTTGCAAAATCTCTCTCAAGGACATTCATCGGTTAGGTTCCCATGAAAGCTCATTGATAAGCTCATAGGGGCGGTGCATTCCAGTTCTCTCCAGACTGACACATGAAGGTATGGTTCCAAATTAGGGATTCATACTGATCCTCCAGTTACCAAGAGGAACCAGCATGGTGTCGGGGATTTGACAACGTTTCTTACAAAACCTCCACGTTTCTTACAAAACCTCCGTGATCTGAACTGACCCTCATTTCTTTTCTGGGTTCTTCCCTAATCCTCACTCAGTGACCCAGCCAAAATGAGCTACTAATAATTTCCCAAGAAAGCCATGCTCTCATAAATTCTCTGCCTTGGACCAGGTGGGTGCTTACCGCCTTGATTTCTCTTCTCACTTCATTCTCATGAATTCAATACTAAAAAGCCGCTCCAAGGTTAAATAAGAACAAAGACTTAACAACCAGCATGACACTGGCGAAATCTACTTTATGTGCAGTGAGAGACATAAGCCAAACTGCAGTGAAAGAAAGTGGAACGTGGAGAATCAGAAGCACTTGTAAAACAAACGTCTTTTAAGAAATACTGCTATTAAAGAGGCTAGAAGAGGGGCCAGCAGACTGCAGCCTGGGAGCCTTATGAGGTTCTTTCAGTACATACATGTGGCTCTTAAGTAAAATTAAAAATGAGATAAAACTTACAGTTTTATTGAATGGATATCATTCAGATGAGGGTGATTCCATTGTTTCTAAAAATGTATTTATGGCTCCCAATTTTTAAAAATTCTTGTAGGGACAAGATCAGCAGTTTCATCTGTAAAGTTTGCTGACTCCTCGACTCAAAGGTAGATAAGTGTTAGTTTGGGTGAAGGGGTGTATTGCACAATAAAAAAGACAAAGGGGGCAGGGGGCCAGGACAAGCTTTGGGGAGGTGTGATAGTTTAAATTGTTGAAATAAAAGCACATTTGAGAAATGTAAACCTCCACCTAATTCACAATTTTAAAAACTGCTGTTAAAAGAGCAAGATGGAATTGCTACAATAGGGCAGAGGATTAAGAAGGTGCTTTCTTTTTTCAACAAAAAGGTAAGAAAGTTGAACACATTAATAAAGAGGTGGAAGTTAATAAAAGAGACAGAAAATAACTCAGTGTGGAAATAACAGGGTTACTTAGCTTGGGGCCAAGGCAAGTGGTTCCTGCCTCTACTTGATATGAAGGCATGAGATGTGGACAAGAAGAGTGGAAGATTGCTGGGGAGGGAATGTGGGTGTGTCTCTGCTCCCAACCCCCTCATTCTCAATATTTTTAACATTATTTTTTTTTTAACAGTTAGCACTTCATCCACATGTCATACAATTCAATTATACCAACAAGATTTGTACAATTATCACCACATTCAATTCTGAACAGATTCTTCTTCTGTGTATTCATTGTTATCCATGTAATTGTTTTTTTTCTAATTGTGGCAAAAACATACCTAACAAAACATTCTCTAATTCAACAACTTCTGCATTAACATTATATCTGATTAAACTATTCTGAAATCGGTAATGTAGTTCATGTGCATCTCTACTCAAGCACACACTAGACTTGGCCACTTTCAAAACATGTCATTTGAATAACAATATATGCAGCAGGTAACACATAACTATATAATATTAGCATATGATGATTTTGCTTTCAATCCTACCTGTATGGCCTCTGAATGTTGTGACCAAGGTGCAGTTTTCTTGTTCCAGTTTGAGGATTGTAACTTGGCCTGAATGGTCACCAATAAATACATGCCGGGTTTCAACATCAAATCTAACATGTGAGCATTAAGGATTGTTTCTCAAAATTAAGTAGAAGGATTAGAGTTTTTAAAAAAGCATAAATGTAACAAATCATGTGCAAATTGCACATAAGGAAAATTTGAACATATTCCCAAAAGTCACAAAAGTGGACCTAACAAATAGAAAGGTCTATTATTAATGGAAATGAAGACTCAATGTAAGAAAGATATCAACTTTCCTACCTTGGTTTACAGGCCCTCTAGTAGCCTACTGGTTATGAGTTGGGCTGGGATCTACAAGGTAAGCAGTTCAAAATCCCCAGCAGCTCCTTGGGAGAATAAAAATAAAAACTTACTGCCATCTTGTCACTATTGACTCATAAGGACCCTATTAGATGGAGCTTTCTATCCCTGGAAAGAGTTATAGTCTTGGAAACCTGCAGGGGCAGTTCTCCTGTGTCCTATATAAGGATTGCTGTAAGTCAGCATCAACTTGATGGCAACGAGAGACTTTGGTTTATAAATTTAATGTACTACATTTAAAATACTAAGTGGCTTTTCTTTTTCTAATCTACATATGCTAATTGTAAAAATCACTGGGGTGTTGGGGTGGGAATAAGCAGAAAAAGCCAGAAAAACTGAAAATAAGAGTAATATAATATGTGATGTAAGGATAACCTTAGTATTTTAACAATTTTAAAGTCTCTAGAAGCAAAAGTATGATACTGATGCATAAACAGATCAAAGGAATAGAAAAGAATTCTAGAAATAAACCCAAAAATCAAAATTTAGTACATCTGATAAAAGGTGACTCTTGAAACCAATAAGGAGAAGATGGATTTAAAAAACAAAACAAAACGATGTTGGCACAGACTGATATGCCATTTGTGAAACTGTTATCAATGCTTGTACTTATTATTCCATTTAGTTATCTATCATTCCATTCCAGCTCTCTATATTTGCAGTTTTCGTCCCATTTAGGAATGGCTTCTCTTCATTAGATGAATGAGTTAGGAGTAGTGGAAGAAAACCTGAACCTGTATATCTCTGAGATATAACAGGCATTAAGCACGCAAGTGGAGTAGAGGTGGTTACGGTAGACACATGTTCTCCAAGGATGTGCATAGCTTTCTGTTAAAGAGATTAAGCCTGTGGCTGATGGACCTAACCAAAGACAACAGACAGAAAATCCATCAGGTTAGAGTGAAAATAACAGAATAAACAAAAGAAAAGAAGATGTTAGCCTCTTGGGATTCTACACGCAGGGAAACAAACCAAATGAGCATGTGTTTCCTACACAATAAAGGAAAGACCACCGCTGGAAAATAGGACAGAACTATTAGAAGGTACACAGGAAGCAAGACTGTCTCAGCTTCTGGGCAAGGCCCACAGTTTGTTAGGCAGCGGAGAGTAGGATCTGTGCCAACTAAGTTCTGAAGTGTGAGGCTCACAATGTGCCAGGCGGATGGGGTTGACACTCAACGCCAAGGAGGTGGGGCTACTATCCCTAAGAAGCAGAAGGAAAGGACTGCTAGGGCCCAGGGGTGAAATCACCATTCAGATGGACTAGGAAGAATGGCACAGGTGAGGCTGTGTAGTGGTTACAAGTTGGGCTGTGACCCAAAAGGTCTGCAGTTTGAAACCACCAGCCGCTCCAGGAGAAAGATGGGGCTTTCTAACTCCAGTAAACAGGTACAGTCTAAGAAACTCACAGGGACAGTTCTACCTTGTCCTGCGGGGTCACTATGAGTTGGCATCGACTCAATGACAGTGAGTTTGGTTTGGGTTTTATAGCTAAAGGGGTAGAATTGCTATCCCAACCTCACTCATTACAAAAGAAATTCAAATTGAAATTGTACTAAGATAACATTTCTCTTCTAATCAGATTATAAAAATTCAATATGCTGCAACATATTCTGCAGGACGGATGTAGAGACACGGGCAGTTGCATACACTGAAGGCTGGAATGTAAAATGGTCCAACCCATGTGAAAAGGAACTTGGCAGCAATTAGCAAAAATACTTGTGTTTGTTCTTCCCACTTCTACAGATAATTCCAGAGCCACAATAAAAATTGTCTGAAATGATACAGTTAAGGAAATTTACTCTTTCTTATTTTAATAGCTAAAGTTTGAAATAATACCAAAGGCTACCAATAAAGGAAATAATGAATATTCTATGATACATCAATGCAATGGAATACCAAGGTTTTTTAAAAGTATTATTACTAGTATAATAAAGCATTATTATAGTCCAGAGATGGGTGTGCTTCCTCAAATGCACATGTTTAAACATATCTCTGCAATCAGTGGATGGCCACAGACAAATGTTTTCAGTAATACACGTGTTAATCTCATTAGGATGTATTAAAAATAGTATCCAATCCAAATAGTAGCTTCTGTAAGGTGACCAGATTTTAACATTGGTAAAGCAGGACACCATTGATAAAACTCATATCCTGGCGAAATAGCCACATGGCAGCCGAAAACCGAATACCCTAGCTTGACGTGCATTCTTTCCAAAAATCGGGACTTTTTTAAAACGCCGCGGGATGAGGGAAATACTGTTAAAAATCGGGACTCTCCCGCCAAAAGCGGGACATCTGGTCACCTTATTCTAAGGTGATCTGCTGGGTCAGTTAAAATCAAGCAAAGAAGTTCACTAGATTAGGGCAATGGAGTTTGTGTTGTTTTAGTCTAAGAAGTAATCCTGGTATCTTTTCTGTAGGAACACAAGACTGTAAGATAATGTATTATAAAGTTTTAAGAAAATGGAAAACTAAATTGTTGAGAAAAAGGCTAGGGAAGTTGTAACAAGGACTTTTCTCCACCATGGCAATGCATCTGCTCATTCTTTTCGGGTAGCAAGGGTTGTCTTGAGAAAATTCTGTTGGGAAATCTTATTCACCAGGATCTTGACCCTTCAGAATTTTGTTCCGAGACTCAGAGAACATTTCAAAGGAGTGCCTTGAGGGGGTTAAAACTGCCATTCTGACATGATATAGATTGAAGAGGGCAGAATTCTCCAGGGAAGGTTTAGAAAGATGGAAACATTACCTTTAGATGTGTGTAGACGTAGATGGAAGAGGTGCCAATAAGCAATAGGTTCATATTCAAATGTTTTAAATAAAAGTTTCTATGATTTTCCAGCAATGCTTTTTTTGCTTGCTCCCGTATTTCTTATCTGTGTCTGGATTGTGAAGTGCCGTCAAGTAGGTTCTGACTCATAGCAACCCTACGAACCCAGCCTGGTCCTGTGCCAGCCTTACAATTGGTATGTTTGAGCCCATTGTTGCGGCCCCTGTGCCAACCCACTTCATCAAGGGCCTTCCTCTTCTGCACTGCTCTTCCACTTTATCCAAGCATGGTACCCTTTGCCAGGGGCTGCTCTCTCCTTGTGCGAAACTGAGAACTGGGAAGAGAGTGTGCGTGGACAAATTCTTCACGATCATATTTAAGGAGTCTGGGAGGCAGACTCTGGTGGAGGAAGGCCTGTAGGTTTGTGAGTTGGAGATGACTCCCAGTCCCAGTCTCCTAACTATGTTATTCCCCACAATGTGCCCCCTATAATAATGCCAATCTTGAGATGCTTCCTACAAGCTCAAGGTTACTTATGATACCCTGGAAGGTGATCTGCCAGAAGGTTGTCTGCCACAGACAGTAATAGGACCCTATTATCCTACCCACCCTGAGTGCAGCCCACTCCTATCTGATACTGATCACAGACTGTTCCCCTGGAGAACTCAGGGACATGCAAGGTCAAGCCAGCTCAAGGACAACCAAGGTTAAGCCACCATCTTAACCCTAAAACCTGCCCACCTCGTTACGAATGTCCCTTCCTGTCATGTGTATGCCTGTAGTACCTCCTCTTCCTGCTACATGTATGCCTCTAGCACATGCACTCCTTTTATATTTATGACATGGCTTGCCTGCGCCAAGATTATATAAGCCTGTTGGAGAATACAATAGCCCCACTCTCTGGTTCCAGACTCTATGCCTTATCTGCTGTCTCTTTCATTTTCCCTTCCAATTATACAATTGCTCCTTAGGACCCTATTGGTTATGGAGACTGGTCCCCTACATCTGTTAATATCATGCGCAAAGCACATGAGATGAAAAGTCCTGCCATCCTTGCCTGTAAGGAACAGTCTGGCTGTCCTTCTTCTAAGACGGCTGTTGGTTCCGTTGGCAGTCCGTGGGACATTCCATGTTCTTCCCCAGCACCAAAGTTCAAATGCATCGACTTTCCTTCAGTCTTTCTTCTTCAATGTCCAAGTTTCACAGGCATACAAGGAGACTGAAAGTATCATAGCTTCAGTCAGGCATATGTTCGTCCTCAACGTAATATCCATGGTTCTCAATACTTTAAAGATGGCGTGTGAAGCAATTTACCTAATGCAATGTGTCATTTGATCTCCCGACTGCTGCTTCCATGAGCACTGATTACAGATCCATACAAGACAAAATCTGTGTCAACTTGGATCTTTTCTCCGTTTTCATGATGTTACCTACTGGTCCAGTTGTGAGGACTTTTGTTTCTTTTCATTGGACTACAGTCCACACAAAAGGCTGCAATCCCTGATCTTCATAAGCAAGTGCTCTAAGTCCTCCAACTGTCAGCAAGCAAGGTTGTGTCATCTGCATGTCACAGGTTGTTAATAACCCTCCAATCCTGATGCCACATTCCTCTTCTATAAGCTAGCTTCTGTCTTTGGATACTGTTCCCCATAAAAAGAAGCTGATTCCAGGGCTGGGACAGATAAGGTACAAGGTGTCATTTGGATAGAAAACAAGGAAAGCCATCAAAGGGTGAGTGGGAGTATAAAAAAATAACAGTAGTCAATGTGAAGGGGAGTTTACTGCTCAAAATTTTTAAAAAGTGAATATCAGACAAAATTACTGAAGTTTACTGACACTACACACACACACACACACACACATTTTATTTGGTGGGAAAACTTTTCACTACATAAGCTGACATCTTGGAAATGTTTCCAATATGAATAAAATTCTAAAATGAAGAATGCCTGAATT